AAAAAATTAGTTTCCCTTGAAAAATGCCATTTCTACCCACCCACCCCACTATGAGGGTGTGGAATTTGGTGATTTTGGGCAAACTCTAAATCTATGATAAGATAAACTCACATGGGAAAGTGTTTTCATACACAACCATCACCCCTTTACCACAATCACTATGAACTTGTAATTACTGTGTTTATGATCCTGGAATAAGTGCTATCGTACTTAACCCTTATGTCTTGTCTAGATGAAAAAACAGGTCTCTCGTTGTCTTCCTTAGGGGCTAAAATCTTGTAAAATAGCTCTTGATTCTTGGTTTTCTTAAGAAGAGATCTATAATTGTCCAGTCAGGTCTTTCAGTACCCAGGTAGGCCATGGCATCAATCTGTGTGTCTCTTGTCCAAAGTGAGGTTAGCTAAGCTCAGAGAGCTCAGGGGTTACCAGGTGATGATTTTTTTTAGCCACTGCAACTCACAAAGACTTATCTACAAGGGAGTAGAGGAGTTAGGATTGATGGTGATGGAGGCAGGACTCACACTCACAAAACCACCTTGCTTTGAAGTACTGCAGAGTAAGTATATCTATTATTCAGACCCAAGTACAGGGATAGATTGATGGAGAAGTCTGTGCCTGAGCCAGGACCTCAACTGTCCAGAGCTCTGAGGAGTCCTGCCATTAGGAATTGAGTGGGTCCTTTCAATATTTTTCTTGGTGGGCAACTATTGCCCTTGTTTAGGCTTTATAGGTGCCTGGGACAAAGGTTGCATTATCTTAGCAGCCCTATAAAAGTTATCCATAATAACACCACCAGAGGCCATACTTATTCATCATGGCTTTGGGCTACTTAATTGAAGAAGCCATGGAAGCCTCCATGCCCTTATCTTCAAACATACCAATTTGAATCCACAGTCCTCTGTGTTGTGTAACTGGGATGGCTTGAAACCTCCAGAGCTCAGAATATCTAGCAAATAATGTCAGCAAGAACCTATAAAAGACAAAGCCTATGAGGGTTAAATCATAACAACTTTACAGACTTCAACCAACATTTATAAATTAGTTGCAAAAAGTACTAAAAAGTTGAGAGATGTAATAATATATAGGCTTGGGAGCAGAGAAGACCTGAGTTACAGACCTGTCTCTGATACATATTAAATGTGGGGATCATGGGCAAGTCACTTCTTAACTCAGTGCCCCAGGAAACTCCCTATGACTGTATGTTACTGACAAATGGCAGATGTGCATTTTTGGAGTTTTCATACTAGGAGTTCCCCATGCTGATTAAATCACAGGTCCAGATCCCCAACCCCTAACACAAAACAAAACTAGTTACAATATGAACTATATTCAGCAAAGAAAGACATATAAGAATTTAAAATACATTCTGAATTTGACTTGCAAAGAGGCAAAATGAACCCAGCCTATTAAAAGGCCCTTCTCAAGTCCCTTTTCTTCTTAAGTCTTCCTAGACCATTCAGTCTCACAATGACATCACTTTCCTTTGACCTCAACAATGATTTAGCAATTAATAGTCACATCCTTTATGACATTTCTTGTATTGTGGTATAGTGCTCCTGTATTGGTGTCTAGAAGGGCAATGAGACAAAGGATAGAGGGCTAGCCTTGAGGTCAGGAAGACCTGGGTTCAAGCTCTACTTCTGACATATTACCTGTGTTAACAGCTGTATAATCATAGGCAAGCAACAACCTCTCAGGTCCTAAGGAAACTCTCTAAGATAAGAAGCTGATCTGTATCAGGTGGACACTAGAAAGTGTGATGAAATCACCGGTAGGGCCAAAAAGAATTATCTAACTTTTTATGTTTATGTCTTATCTGCCACTAGCTCATAAGCCTCTTGTGGATGATCATGGACCATAGTTTATATACTTGCTCCTAACCAAAAAAAACACACAGAATTTTAGAGCTAGAAGGCACCTTAGAAATCATGTGAATTAGTGCCTTCATTTTACAGATAAGAAAATATAGGCCCACAGAGGTGAAATCACTTGCTCAAAGTCATAGCTGGTAGATAGTAGAGTTGGGACTATCCCAGCTAATGGTAGGTAATACAGCTGGGGCTATAATCCTAACTAATAGAGATAGAACTGGGACTACGTAATCCAGGTCTCCCGACTCCTAAAATGGTGTTCTTTCCACTATACTACTATCTTCTTCGAAATTATAAATTTCTTGAGAGAAAAGACCATGTGCTATACTTATTTGTATGCCTTCCCCTCAATCCCAAGTTACCTACAGGTGTGGAGAACCTGCAGCCTCAAGGCCACATGAGGCCCTCTGGGTCCTCAAATGTGGCCCTTTGACTGAATCCAAACTTCACAGAACAAATCCCCTTAATAAAAGGATTTGTTCTGTAAAACTTGGGACTTAGTCAAAAGGCCACACTTGAGGACCTAGAAGGCCACATGTAGCCTTAAGGCCAAAAGTCCCCCACCCTACCTGACAGTGTCCTGCACATAGTAATTTCAATAAAAATTTACTTGGTTGATTATTTATAACTTGAAATATTTCTTGATTATTCTTGGGACACAGCTTGACTGTATGCTTACCTTATGTAAATATGTTCACATAGCACTGTGCTGTTAGCTGTACAGAAAGAAATGAAAATCATCTTCAACTGAATGCATTTATCAAAAATCCAGTGTGAGGCATTGTCATAAGAATTATGGACCTTATGCCTCTATGGCCTCTTATGACCTCACAATTTAAGATGAAATAGACGTAGGAAGACATCTCTCTGTGCCACTTAATACTTTTGTGACTTTAGGTAAGTAGGTTTAGCCTCTCTTGGCTTCAGTTTTCTCATCTGGTAGAATGAGGGCATTAGACTAGATGATCTCTAAGGTTCTTTCCAATCGATGATCCAGTGACACAGGAAAATAGAGATGTTAAATCAATCAGATGTTTATATCATATCAAGTTAGATCATATTTTAAGGCATAAAGAGGTAGGGTCAGAATAAAATTAGGGTGGATAGAATTGGATGTCCTGTATTCATATTAACTGGAATAAGAGTGAAGCAGTGCCTGTTCTGTAGGAATTTATAATCCATGATAGCTTGTGGACAGATGTAGAGCACATGAATTAAATATGTAAGTTAAACATTTATATTGTATTGACAGCTTTATGAACTAAATACTTAATTTCCCTGAGAGCTGACTGTTACGGTGTTCCTATACTGTGAAAGTTTTAGGCAACATTATGTGATTAGAAGATGTGCCATAGACCATTTCCGGGTATATCTAGAAGAACTTGGGGAATATGGGATCAGAATGACCACTGAAATACCCCTCCACTGGTAGGCAGTGTAACATTGTTTCCTGGATTGTAAAACTATGCAGGGCATTCTTCTTTGGGTTTACATGATTTTGTTCTCTCAGCCTCTAACCTGTAGGTTGGAGAATTAGACTCAGTATCAGTACACAAACCATTTAGATGAGTCTAGGGGAAGAATGAACTGACAGAATTTGAAATTCTAGGTAACTGAACCATTTCAACCTCTTTTCCAGTCTGGACATAAAATTTTCACGGAATTACTGAAGTCCAAAGGCTTCCATCTGGGAGTTAATGAAAAGATTAGTTGACCTTATTTCCTTCTTCACAGATAACACCTCAAGGTTGATTATTTCTGCTTTTGTATTTAATTCAATGTATATTTTGTTTAATGGCAATCACCTCTTTAAAAAATATAATTTTCCCCTTTAAAATGGTTCATTGAAAAATGAAGTTCAGTGCTTTGTATTTAATTATACTGAACATCTTGGCTCAGAGAAGAAATGAGGAAATTCTTCTCACTCTGATCCTTGGAGAAGTAAGGGCCTATGGGTATGGAATGTGTTTTAGTTTTGCTTAACTATTCTTTGTCACAAAGGGTGGGATGGATGGGGAGTGGAAGTTGAGAGACATGTCCTGAAAAACCTGTAATGTAAAAACAGAAAATGGGTGAGAATGGGTAATTGACCTTGGTGAGAAAAGTAGGAGAAAATCTTGAATTGATGGAAGTGTTTCTTCTTCTTAAGAATGCACGTGCTTCAGAGCTACAAATCTCTCTCTCTTTGGGGAAAATAATGTTAGATCTGATTTCCCTTGACACTTTGGGGTGTGGAACTCAAGCAGAACTACTCCATGTAGCATATTTAACATTTCTTACCCCCAAAAAAACTCAAAATACTAAGGGTGAAATTTAAAAACACAAGTTATAGGCCGCCTGCATGTATTTGGCCTCAATCTTAACCCTGCTAAAAACTGAAATAGCCATAAGGAGTGGAAAGGGAAAAGAGCAACCTTAGTAGCTAGCACCCGAGTTAGCTACTGGCAGTGCTACAATTCTACAAACATCCAGTCCAAACGCTGTCATTTTGGGTATTCCCTTGCCATTTTCTCTTTTTAAAAAGTCAATAAAAAGACCCACATTCCCAATTAGATTTCTTTTTCGACCAGCAGTTGGACGAGGTGGGTTACTATTGAAAAGGCCAAACTTTCTTCAGTCATCTGTCTCTCCTTCCTTTCAACTTGCAAACGGGAGCCAACAGCAGTCCCGTAAAGTAAAGCGATTTTCTCCTAGTGAAAAGCATGCTAAAGCAGCCCTGAAACCGAGGGCTCCCTAGTAGGTAGAAAGACTAAGGGCCACAATAATAGCCGATGACTCAGGGTGGAGCTCTGCATCCTGGAAAAGGGGCACAGCCAAATCTGCTAGATGGAACCAGAAGTTTCTACCCGGCCAGTTCCTTTCTCCTCGCTCTTCTTATCTCCTCCATGCCTCTTTGCACCAGAAGGGCTATTTCCAGATACTTCCAGCTCCTTCCTCTCACGTCACTCCACCATTAATTCATAAAGGTGGTTGGAGGCGGACTTAAGGACACCCTTGTAACCCGCCTCCTTCGCCTACTCTTTAACCTCTCCCTCCCCCAGCCTCCGCCCAACCCAGCCCAGCCCAACCCAACCCAGCTCAACTCACTCTCCCCGCCCCAGCCCCAGCTAGTAGCAGCCTTGCCAGCAAGCAGCAGCAGCAGCAGCAGCGGTCGCAGCCCTAAACACAGCAGCAGCAGCAGCAGAAGCGAAGCAGAAGCCGCAGCAACAGTACCAGAAGTCGCTCCTTAGGCAGAGCATGAGCGCAGCCACTCACTCTCCAATGGTTCAGATGGCGACCAGCAATAGCGGCAACGGCGGGGAGCGAGACCCCTTGCCCCCCGGCTGGGAAATTAAAATCGATCCACAGACCGGTTGGCCATTCTTCGTAGATCACAACAACCGGACCACTACATGGAACGACCCACGCGTCACCCCCGAGGGGCACAAAGTGAGTGGTCCTTCTCCCCCGACCCCTCCCGCTCCAGTGGTGGCCTGGCTGCCTACTGGCCTTGCCTACTGGCTTTGCCTACTCTTCCCCGTGGTGCAGGCAGCATTTGAGGATCGGGGGATTCGGAGGAGAAAGCCGAAAGGACTGGGGAGGGGCGTCTTTGGGGATGGGACAAGGAATACATAGATCTCCCTTCCGCTTTTGGTTTGTTTTTGGGAGAGTGTTGCACAGTGGAGGGAAAGTTGGGAGCAGAAAGGAGGTGCAGTAGGGCGGGGAGTGAGATAGGCCGGGTGGTGGTGGTCTGTGAATGTGGATGCGTGTGCGCGCGCGCGCCCCGCCGAGGTACAGGTTACTCTGTCCAGCGGCGTGGCAGTGCAGAGAAAGGAGACGTGGGGGAAGGACGGGAGATAGTTCTGGACAAGACATGGGCGGATAGGAAAGTGGTAGAGAGGTCGGGCCTGGAGACCGAGACAGATCAGCCAGGTCACTGCAGGGGGGCGGGGAGAGTCAGGGAGATGGGGCACCGGGGCTGGCCAGGGAAGGGCAGGAGGTGGAAAGGGCATTCATTGGCAAGCCCTTTCCCTCCCCACCCCTCCCCACCCCCCAAGTAGACAGCAGGAGCTGCCTTTTGTCTCTGACGCACTGCAGCTCTTCTCAGTGCACTAAATCATTTGATACTTAGCCCTGTAATGTTTATTTAAAGTTTGTTAAGTCCACCCAAGCAGCAGCGACAGAAGGGAAACTGATTTATTCTTCAGCTTCGTCTGCCTGCAGGTTAAATCGTGTACTACGTTCAGCACAAGATACACACAAACACAGCTGAGTAGCAGCTGGCTGCCTTCTTTTGCTCCTTTTGCAAGCTGCCTAGGAAGTTTTGTCTACTGTCCAGTTTGAATGTATGTTCACAGGAGAGAGGCATTTCTATTCTAAATAAGTCCATAGATAGAGATGCTAGTGAGAGAGGCAGTCAGATGCAGAGGAAAGCCTAGTGGCTCCAGATTTAGAGGACCTGGGTTTGAATTCTAGGCTTTGCCCCTTACTTATCTCGGTGACCTTGGGCAAAACACTCAAGTTCTACGTGCCTCAGTTTCCTCATCTGAGAGAGTTGGATTGGATGATTGATAAGGACTCTCCAAGTCCAGATCCCTACAGATCCTAAAAGAGAAGGAAAAGACAGGAAAAAAAGGATTCCTCCTGATACCAATTATATGATTTCTGGGTGACATTTGGTCCAGAAAAATCATACAATCAGTTGACAAGATAAAATGACACAATAAGCTGCATTTTATCTAGTCTCAGGATATTTTGTGGTGCTTGTATTGTTTGGTTTTAAAATTTCTATTCTTAATGAAAGTATATTTAATAAAACTGTCTCTAGCATGGGGTATAACACCAAGAATCAGTGATTCAAAAAATGCTATCTTTGTTTCAGGGCCATTGCCTTGGTAGGTCTCTGAAGCTTTCTGAGCATAGGGGAAAAGCTAGAAGAGAAAGTCAGAGGTTGCTAAGGCCTATGTTGAAAGAAGTTTGGGCGGACTCTGTGGAGCCACAGAATTTGGCTCGTGGCCTCAAAAGGCCTGGCTTCTTTAGCTGCCAAGGAAGGTTCCTGACACTTCTTCGGAAATGGGTTGAAACTTCCCAGCTGTTCCCCTAAAAATGGTGGGCAGGGAAGTCAGGCAGTGTTTTTGTGTTGCCCACTCATGCAGCAGCAAAATGCAGAGTCCAGCTAGCTGTGAAGGTGACTCTCCTTGAAGTCTCAGCATTAGGCCAGCACATTTTTGGGGTTTCAGGCCTAGCCCTTGCCAGAGTACTTTTGCTCCCAAGCCAGATTTGTCATCATTAGACTCCTGGGTTCCAGAAGGGATATCATTTTAGTATTTGTTAGTAATGGGTTTTTTCACCTTTACATTTATATTACTATTTAAGCAAAATACTCCAAATTACCTAAACAAAAAGACCAACTCCTATTTCCAACATTTAAAGGCTGTAATTGAAGAAAGAATAGTCAACACTTCAAAATACAAAAATCATAGCCAGAAGGTCAGTAAAGCAGTATTTTGAATTATAAAAGGCACTCAAGTGTTTAAAAATAATAATTTAGGGAAGTATAACTAGTATTTTCCCCCCAAAAAATTTATTGCTTTTTCCCACTTGAGTTTTACAGAATACTGTCTACCTACCATGCCTCCCTGGGCCTCAGTTTCCTGAACTATAAAATAAATTTTGGATTAGATGCCTTCTGCCGATCCCCTCTAGTACCAAGACTCTGTTACTCTGATCCTACAATCTTACAACATTGAGGAAACTCCCCTGCCCACAGACATCAAATTCACAAGTAATTAATTGTATACTCATTTCTAAAAATTAGCACAGCTGACTAATTTTCTATAATTAACATCAGACATAATTGTGTACATGAATTTTTGAATGTGCAGTCGCTTGGGTGGGGTAGAAATCATCTTAGGGAGAATTTGTGTTGTAGTTGGGTTGGCATTTTAAATCAGCTTAGATGACACCAGGTAGTTATGAACATTCATTTTGCCTTGTCATTCCTGTATAAACAACCAAGCTATGGGAAACCTGTAAGAGATCAGGAAAACTCAAGGCAGTTGTTAATAAACTCTCAAGTTTGAGCATTTACTGCATGTGTTGAATGGCGTAGATAGTCTGGCATTTTGTTGTAAACATGAAACTGGTCTAACAAGTTCAGAAGGCTATGTGTAAGAAATGTCTGCCCAATATGTCATGTAGGCTGTGGCTCTAAAAAAAAAAGATCAGATCAGATGGGAGGGGCTCTGGTTTAAATAAATCTGAAAGTCTATCACTTTGGGAAATAATAGCTCACTTTTAAGAAGTACTTTCCTTACAAAAACAATGTAGGCAATAGAAATATTATGAATCCAGTTTTATAAATAAGAAAACCCAGAGAGTTGTAAGGGATTGGTCCTACAGGCAAATGGCTGACTGAGTCTGTGATGCAGCCGTACTTCCTTAGGCCTCGAAGTCATCTATGAGTGGCAGAACCAGATTAAAATGTAATTGAGAAATACTTAACAAAATAAATTAAAATTCAGTACAACATAGATAATATTAATTTTCAGTCTACAATAGCTATCTTTCATAGGACAGCTTTGCCTTCCCTTCCTCAGCCAGTCTTCCCATATTCAGCTATCCAGACAGGCTCATTCCTGCTACACTCTGACTTCAAGAGAGAAGGTGTCTTCTACTCATCATATTTTTACATGTGTATAGCTACACCTGTTCCCAGGAAAAGTGTAGAATCCCCCCAATATGTGAGTGAAATAATTCAGGAAGCACAGTGGGAAGAGAGCATTCATCCTCTCCCTGGGCTTTTTCCAGAGTAAGCACATGCTAGGCTTTTCAGAATGCCTTAAATGCTAACCTCCCCACTCCCTGCAATATTCCTTAGAAGAGAGGGATATTAGGTTATCTGTTTATAGACTAGGAAGTAAATAGGAGGTGAGGCTATTGCAGAGGTGATATAAACATAGGACCCTCTCAGAAGCCATTCATTGAAGTCCCTCAGTTCATAGATTACAAATTGAGGACCAGAGACGTTAAATGATTTTGTCCATTGTCTAACAGTATGCATCAGAACCAGAATATGAAACCAAGTTCTTTGATTCCAGTCAGTACTTCTTATTCACTTGTGTTTTCATCTTTTATAAACTAGCAGTTTATGGTTAAATAGAATTTTTTATTTTTGATCTTGTGAGTAAAAAAAGTACTATTTTTAAAAATCGCAATGAAAAGTAATAAATATGTGGAGAGGTGCTCATGTAAGGTAGCAAGCTTAAGTAAGTCCTCCTAGAAACCTGGCTCTCAAGTGTTCCCATAGCATGCTCCCTGTGTCCTACAATACCACTTTAATCAAAGTACTCCCCAGCCCATAAACTTTCCATGGTTTGTGAAAATCTAAGATTTCCTGCTGTGCTTCCAGGATGAAGCACATGTCCTAAGCCATAGTCCCTTCTTCTTGAACTCTGAAAATTGTGAGTGCTAGAAAAGGGAAGCTTGATATCTCATCTAATAGCTTCATATTATAGGAAGGAAAACTGAGGGTCAAAGAAACCAACTGATTTTTTTGTCTAAGCCATGTTACCTATGTGGTAGGGCCTTTTAATTCCTAGTCCTTTGCTTATTCCATAAAATTTACCTATACCATTATTGTGTACTGTCTTATAATATTTTTCCTACTCTTCTTTCAGTTTTTTACTTGTTACTGCCTTAATCTTTAAAATAAGACCATAGATTCCCTGAGAACAAAAATTGTTTTGTTATTCTTCTTTAGGGACATATCCAGCTTTTTGGAGAAGAGGGCAGCTTAGTTTAAATTAAAGATAAAGTGGGAAACACCAATTTCTATAGGGTTATTCCAGGTTAGGCATTGTGTTTTCTGGTATCAGGATACCAGAGAAGTATAGGCTTTCTATCCCTGGGGCTGGCTGTCCCATGGAATATGGACTGAAGAATATGGTCTTCTCTACAGGCTCAGAAGTATCCATACACAGGCCCCAGGGTCAGCCAATCAACTTCCAAATAATAAAGGATCTTTTACATAAAAGTATGGACCAGTAGTGAAGGATTCTTTGATTTGGAGAAGAAACTAGGAACTGATCCTATAACATATATTTAATCATCCATTAGTTCAGAAATATTGGTTAAGCAACTACTGTATGCAAGACACATAGAGATGAACAGGAAGACATGGACCCAGACTTAGAGGAACTTATACTCTAGTAAAATGGAAACTTCCTTCTTTGCTGTGCAGACTCTGGACCCTCAGACTGAGTCACATTTACTACTTTGCAATGACTACAGCATGCCTTTATTTAGCACTCTTACTCTCTACATTTCCCTGTGAAGGCAATTTCTTTTTATAGTACCTCTGGCTCTTAAATTTTTGTGAAAATTGTGAACTTGACATGCATCAATAAACATTTCCATATAGAAAGGAGAGAAAAAAAGAGTGCTGTAAA